TAAACAACAGCAAAACGACCCTCAAAATAATTATCAAAATGCTATTAAACAACAGCAAAACGACCCTCAAAATAATTATCCAAATGCTATTAAACAACAGCAAAACGTTCCTCAAAAAAATGCTATTAAACAACAGCAAAACGTTCCCCAAAATCATTATCAAAATGCTATCAAACAACAGCAAGAATTTTTAATAATGCAACAATATCAAGATTTAATAATGCAACAGCATCATGAAGTATGCAAAACAATAAGTAACATGGGGAAATCTATTTCAGACTTATGCGATTAAGTCTTCAATTTTATCTTATTTTTTTTAATGATAAATGTATGTTATATAACAGATGTTATTGGGGTATCTTAATCCAGTTTATCACACAAGTAATCTAGTAAAGATCACTAATCAATTTTTTTTTGTGATTTTTCATGTTTTTCTGAAATCACTATTTACTATATGAAAAGTGATATCACACTATTTTTATTTCTCTTGAAGTATTTTACATTTTCGATTTTGTATACTATATATGTTTTATGAAACATGCGTTCGAAAAGTAACAATGTTAAATTTTCCATATACTAGTATAAAAACATTATAATATCGATATTTTATATTTAACTTGGAAATTTTCTTGGCAAGAAAATTTTTACCTAAATATTTTTTTTTTAATTTTTTTTTTTAATTTGAAGCGGCATGTCGTTTATTAAGTAATATATGATTACATATAATATACATAGTACATCAACGAAAGTACAACTAGTCACACGTATAACTTTAGTCATTATCTAATTAAGGGTTCCGCCCACAGGTTACCCACTAGATGCCATACCTGAGACCCGCCTGTGAGTCCCCTATTTAAACTTTCTGATTTTCCCTAAATATTTTAAATTATCTAATTATTTATTATATATAGTTATACAATAAAAATGTCTACCTGGTTACAGTTTTTAACTTACCTTATAGTGGTAAACACAATATATATAATTATATATTATATTAAAATACATTTAATTATTTAGAATTTCAAATAAGAATGCTATTAAGAAATTCTTGTGTTTTTTTTTTAGTAGATTTATAATTATTTGCTGCATTATTAGTAAGTTGATGCTAAATATTTCTTAGTTTACTTTGAATAATTTTATTGATTCTGTTATTTAAACCGGCAAGTTGTATATGCGATTTTTGCAAATCTTTATTTATACTTTGATGTCACATCAATTAAATAATCTTCTAATTGCTGCTAATATATTACAATACTCCAAACACAAAATTTTAAATTTGTATATAAGCAAAAATTTTAATAATTTTAATATTTTTTTTAAAAAATTAGTAAAATTTTTAAATTCTTTAAAAAAATTTTTTTAATTTAATACTTTAAATAATTCAAAAGTATTCAAATATTTATTAAATACATTTTCTTTTAATTACTCAATCTAAAAAAAATCTTATTATATTAAGTTAGTTAAAAGTCAATTAAAAAATAAACGTATAAGCAAACTATGGTTCATACTTCAAGTTTACAAATACATACTGGTCTATAAATTCAAACTTCTGTTTATATTGTAAATTTACTTAATATATTTTATGCTCCAATTAATAATAGTTAACAAAAATTTTTAAATTTATTTATATCTAATTTATATTTAGCATTTTCTAATTTATAACCAAATAAATTATATATATATTTTAAATAACTATGTAATTCTTCTATTTAAACTAATATTTTATTTATTAATTCATAAACCTAATTATCTGATAAAAGAGTAACTTTTTTATTTAATTGATAAATTTGAAAGTTGGATCATATCTAGTTAAAAAATAATATTTTAGTTTATAGGTTTTTTTTAAATTTAATAAGACATAGTAATTGTAAATTAAATTGCTTATTAGTCAACTATTACTGAAATATTTTTTATTTTGTAAATAACTTTTTAAAATATTTTTGGCATTTTTAAGTTAATTAAATATAAATATCTTTTTTGAAAAAAATTTTCTTAGCAGCTTCTAATTTATATAACTAATTTTGTAATATTGGTTACTAAAATAAAGATATTTTATTTTTTACTTTTATTTTTTATTTTATATATATTAAAATAGACTTTTTAAAACTAAAGCTTTTGTATTCAATATAGTAAAATATAGGAGCTTATAACTAATTATTTTAAAAAGCTACTTTATATTAAGGAGCACATCTAAATACATATACTTTTTGATATCTAATTTAAGTAGTTTACTTATATATAGGTTTTATACTAGCTGTCATATTTGCAATTCAACTATAAATATTATTTATTTAACTCTTTATACTGCAATTTTTACTGTATTACTAAATTATCTTTAATACTAATATTAGTTAAGAAGATTTAAATATTTATCTATACTTTTAAAATACTTATCTTACTTTATATAATCTATTCTTAAGATATTGTTATTAGAATTTATATATTCTAATTTACAACTAACTTAGTTTCTAAAATTTGTAAAGTTTATATCTTCTTTTTACAACTTTATTAGTATATTATTTATTTTTGCAATTTTTTTGTACTATCAATTTAGTTATCTCTATATTATATAACTTTTTACTTAGATTAACTGGTAACCAAATTAGTAAATTTTCTATCTAAAAGTTTGAATATACAGATTGCCTGTTTTAGATTTTTTCTCTAAATTAATATTTTTATAGAAAGTACTGTTAAAAGTTGCACTACTTTTTTATTTAGAATTCTAAACAGACTTCTTATCTGAATATATACTTTTTAAATTTAATTATAAAATATTATATATTTTTAAAATTAGTCTTAATATAACCAGAATTATAGAATTTACAAATCTCAGATTACAGATAAGTTTGTTAAAATAAAACTATTTTTTATTTTTTTTATTTAGATAGTTATGCTAGTAGGCTTTATTAAAAAAAATATTAATTTTATCAATCATAATACAAGATTAATTTTTAGATCTTAGCTTTTCTGATTATTTTTAAGAATGCTTAGAAATGATTTACTATACTAGGCTTAATAAATTAATATCTAAAAAACTATTACTAATTATTACTCTACAATAGAGTATTATTAATTTAATAATACTTTTTTATAAAAAAATGAAAAAAACAAAAAAAATTAATTTAAACTAAACTAAATAAATTACAAAAAGAAAAAAGAAAAGCAAATATATAAAGTGCATACTTTTTTATAATTATTCTAATAAGATTACTAATACTTTAATCTGTATTAAGAATTTAACTATATTTTAACTTATACTAAAAAAATAAAAATTTATATACATAATTAAGAATTGCTATATATCATTAATTTAATATAACTCTTTAATTTAAATCTTTCTTTATTATTTATTATACTTTATGTTAAACAATATATATAATTGTTATATTCTCTTTATATTATATTATATCACATAATTGTCTAAAAAAGAAAGTAATAAACAATGCTAATTTTTTGTAATAAGAAGTCAAAATTTCAACTTTTGTATAAAAAAAAAATACCAAAATAAATAAAAAACCAGTAAGTATAATATATAAAAAGCTAAATTAAGTAGAATATTTTTATCTGTTTGTCTTATTTTTAAGTATTTTACAATCTTTAACTAAAGTATTTCTATATTGTATTTAGAATATTTTCTGATTTGAATACTAAATATATTAAGAAGTTTACCTGGAAAAAAAATTTTAACTTTGGTACAAATTACTAAAAGAGTTATCTGCATCTTATTTTTTTTATGTATTTTTAGTTTATTAGCAATAATTAGACTTATATATTAATATAGAATCAAATATGTTATATACTTAGAAACTTAACTCTTCTAATTGTTTTAATATTAGTTTGGTTTAAGTAATTATTAAGAGGCAAATATTAAATCAATTTTTAATAGAATCATTTTTCAAAATTTTGCTACAATAAGATTTAAACACTAAACCTATTAAAAAAAGAATAACAATCTGACTATTATTATTACAGAGTTGTAGCCTTTTTGGTACAATACAACTAAGTAACAAGGTCACTCTATATAGTGATTGACTATTGCAAATATATATAGGATAGAGGTATACTAGTTTACTTTACTACACAATAGCAGACAAACAGTTCAAGATAGTAATAATATATAAATTAGCTTTTATTAAATAAATACACAGTAACAACTTTGTCTATAGGAATTACTCTAAAGAAAAAATATTACTTTTACAAGTTAGAGGTAAAGGTAGAAGAGTCTAGATTGAAGTATAGGAACTTAGAATTGGTAGGGAAAGGTAAAAGGTACCTTTTATATATCTTTTTATCTAACAGAGATAGTAGGGATTTGAGCAACATAACTTGATATTGTATTTGGAGTAATGGAAGTTCAAATAACATTAGATATCATTGTACTTTGGACAATGGATATTTGAACAACATTAAATAATACTGTGCTTGAAGTAGTAGAAACTGTATAGAAACAACTTGGAATATTGTTTATATTATTTGTCATTCATGCTTAAAACACTTAGGGTTTGTGTTTAGGCACTTGGATCTATGTAAAAGCATTTGGAATTTGTGCAGAGATACTTGGAATCCATGTAGAGACACTTGGAGCTCATGTCAGTAATATTTGGGATTTTTGTACTGCAGCACTTGGCACAGTAATTTGGTGCTAAGATATATGAAACTTGTATAGAAGTACTTGAAGTTTGTAAGATAATAGTAATATCACAGATGTTACTCAATATCATGTGGCTGTACCACATTTCTAATACCAATTAAGATCTTTTTATCTATCTACTATATACTATAACTATTGACTAACTAATAACTAATAATAAATAATAAATATAAGATATAAAATACAATACCAAATATATAAATATAACTACAAATACTACTATATAATATATTATACTAAAATCTACTTTGTAATATTTTTCTCTTCTTAAGAATTTTATTTTACAAAATTCTCACAACTTTTGTATCATTCACAAAATTAACTAATTGATTAAACTTGGCTTCACTCATATTACTGATATATTTTAGAGTTAGTTTTTTTGTTCAATATATTTGTTCATAACCAATGGCTTTAAACAATCGATAAGTTCTAGTTCAGGTCTTAATTCTACTTGTCTTTATGAACTTGTTATAATTTGGTTTCTCCAATAATAAAGCTCCTAGGTGATAGCTGTAAGCTAAGCAATATATCCAATTATAATTAGAGGGGCATGCAATCAACCAGTATTCTTTGGTAATTTTGGTATAATAATTTTTCTATGATGTATTAATAGTCATTGGTACAGTAACTGGAAAAATCTA